TTTTTAGGATTTAGGTTCAGGATTTGGAGGTCTTAGGGTTTATAGGGTTTGGCAATTATCGGATGTAGGGTCTAGTGGGCTACTTAGACTTAGTAAGTCTTAGTAAGTCTATGTAGTATCCCCGAAACCCTATAATAAACCTAAACCCTAAACCCTAAACCCTAAACCCTAAACCCTAAACCCTAAACCCTAAACCCTAAACCCTAAACCCTAAACCCTAAACCCTAAACCCGAACCCTAAGGTCTCTACATGCCTGGCCCAGCCCAGCTCTGCCTGGCCTCCCTCCGAACCTTCGGCTGGCCCTCGGCCGCCAACGCCCGAGAGCCCAGTGAGTCGGCGCGCAATTGCTGAGGGGGTTTAGGGTTTAGGGTTTAGGGTTTAGGGTTTAGGGTTTAGGGTTTAGGGTTTAGGGTTTAGGGTTTAGGGTGCAGGGCTCAGGGTTTCAAGTAAGTCGGTTTAGTGTCTGGGGCTGACTTGGGGTTGCGGGGTTTTGTGCTTGAGGGGGTTCAGTGAGGGGTTTAGGGCTCAGGGGTTTAGGGTTTAGGGGTCTAGGGGCTTAGGGTTTAGGGGTTTCGGGGTTTTGGGAATGGTCAGCTTTCAAGGCTCATGAAGTAAGGGTTAAGGGTTTAGGCCTAAGGGTTAGGGTTTGGGGTTTAGGGTTTAGGGTTTGGGGTTTAGGGTTTGGGGTTTAGGGTTTAGGGTTTAGGGTTTAGGGTTTAGGGTTTGGGTTCAGGGTTTGTTTGCTCTTCCCCTCCCTTGCGGGTTTCGGGGGTTCAGGGTTTATTGGCCCTGGCAACTCTCGACCCTAAAGCCCTGCACCCAAAACCCTTCATCCAAACTAGCCCTCCCCTGGCCCGCAAGTAACCCTAAACCCTAAACCCTAAACCCTAAACCCTAAACCCTAAACCCTAAACCCTAAACCCTAAACCCTAAACCCTAAACCCTAAACCCTAAACCCTAAACCCTAAACCCTAAACCCTAAACCCGAATTCGCTTCAGCTAGGTCTACATGACAGGGCCGGGTCTGCACGTCTCTGTCCCAGCACACACCGAGTCATGGCCGGCAACAAGCAGCTTCTCTGTGAGGGGTTGGGTTTAGGGTTTAGGGTTTAGGGTTCAGGGTTCAGGGTTCAGGGTTCAGGGTTCAGGGTTTAGTGTTTAGGGTTTAGGGTTTAGGGTTTAGGGCTTCGGGCTGAGGGCTGAGGGTTTATTAGGGTTGAGGGCGTTTTGGGGTCTAGAGTTGAGAGCTTCGGGTTTGTTGTGGTGAAGGGCTTCGGCATGTTTCGGGTATGACTTTCTAAACCAAGGGAGGGGTGGCGGTGGATGCTGTAAGGAAATATGCTGAGTCAGTGGGGGGTAGGTGGGTGGGCGGATAAGAAACTAGTCTAGGAAACTAGGGAACAGCCCAGCACATTCTTCTTCTTTTTTCGGAACGCAGATGGGGGAGAAGATTTTGGAGTTTTTCTGAACGGAAGCTTTAAGGAGTCAGCTGTGAGGGTTTGGGAGTCAGGTTGAGCTATTTTTCGTGCCTTAGCCTTAAACTCTAAACTTTAAACCCTAAGCCCTAAGCCCTAAACCCCAAACCGTATAAACCCTAAACCCTAAACCCTAAACCCTAAACCCTAAAAACCCTAAAAACCCTAAAAACCCTAAAAACCCTAAAAACCCTAAAAACCCTAAAAACCCTAAACCCTAAACCCTAAACCCTAAACCCTAAACCCAATCCCTGTTGATGGGATATGTCTGAGACGGCAGCTGTCGGCTCGGATCCGGATGAGCTTCATGAATCAGTGTTTACGTAGGGTAAGGGTTTAGAGGGTTTTGGGTTTAGTGTTTGGGGTTTAGGGTTAGGGTTTAGGGTTTAGGGTTTAGGGTTCAGGGTTCAGGGTTCAGGGTTCAGGGTTCAGGGTTCAGGGTTCAGGGTTCAGGGTTCAATTATGTTTTAGGGTTTTCTGATGCTTTTGTCTAGGGTGCAAGGTGTCGGCCTTCGGCGCTGAACACAAAACCCCGCATGACCTCCGAGTAACCCATAGTGTATGCCAACCCTAAACCCTGCACCTTCTAGAAACTACTACTTGCTTAAGAACCCCCCTCAAAAAGAACAACAATCTCTAGTTTTCCCTAAAAGGGAAGCACATTCCCTATTTTTTGGAAAGTTCTTAACCAAAGGGTAGGAAAGAGAACCCCCTACCCCATTTATTTGCGCGATCCTGCGGAGTTTCTCTTAGACAAGCCATATGTTGTTACCCTCAACCCTAAACCCCTACATGTCCTCCCATGTATTTTACAGCCCTGAACCAACAAGAGCCTAGATACTCTAGAATAATTTTCCCGAAGTTTAACCCTAAACCCTAACCCTAAACCCTAGCCCTAAACCCTAAACCCCAAACCTCTCTGGCCAAAGCTCCCTAACGCCCAAACCCTCGAGCCACACCCCAGGATCGCCAGGATGTGCTCATCTTTCAAGCAACAGGGCGCAAGAGGTGGGTTTAGGGTTCAGGGTTCAGGGTTCAAGATTTAGGGTTTAGGGTTTAGGGGTTAGGGTAGGGCTTATACCCAAACCCTAAGCTTTCCCAGAAGCCCGAAACCCTTCACCCAAATCCCCTAGGAGATGTTGGGTTTCGGGCTTAGTTCAGAGACCCGAACCCCAGATCCCACACCCTAAATCCTCATGGGATTAAGACTCTAAACCCTAAACCCAAAACCCTAAACCCTAAGAGGTTCCCTTGATATCCTCCGAATCTGGCCCTTTTGTTCCCCAAGAGGAGCTTCACAAGGGTACCCAAACCCAAGGGTACAACCTTAGGTGTCCGATGTAGAGATCCCCTAAACCCTAAACCCTAAACCCTGCACCCTAAACCCTAAACCCTAAACCCTAAACCCTAAACCCTAAACCCTAAACCCTAAACCCTAAACCCTAAACTCCCCTGAGCCCTCGGCGTTGGCACACAGGTGGCAAGCCTTTGCCCCACCTGCACTGGCAGCCCAGGCTCCCAGCTTGGGGGTGCAGGGAGGATTTACAGGGTTTAGGGTTTATAGGGTTTAGGGTTCTAAACCCTAAACCCTAAACCCTAAACCTTAAACCCTAAACCCTAAACCCTAAACCCTAAACCCTAAACCCTATGGGCACAGGGATCCTTAGGGCTACTTGGAGGTTCATGGTGTAACCCGATGAGGGTACTTAAGGGGGCTCATTAGTGGGTTAGAACTACACTTATCAATGGGTTCTAAGTACCCTGAACCTGAAAGTAAGGTTTGGGAGTTTCAAGGCTTTGGCCGAGCGATGGGGGCGTGTTTAGGGTTTAGGGTTTAGGGTTTAGGGTTTGAGGGTGTAGGGGTGCAGGGTTTAAAACTGTCGAAGGGAAGGGTCAAGGGATGAGTGTCTGGGGGGTTGAGGGTTTCCCTAAACCCTAAACCCTAAAACTTAAACCCTAAACCCTAAACCCTAAACCCTAAACCCTACACCCTAAACCCTAAACCCACCCTAAACCCCAAACCCTAAACCCATCGCCAGGATCCCTTGCGGCGCGGCAAAGATGGCGACGCAGCCAGACTGCATCGCCTTCAGGCGTTTACATGCCGTTGGGGGTTAGCGTTCTAGAATTGGGGGGGTTTTGATAGAGAAGTCCCCTGAACCCTAAACCCTAAATCCTAATTCGTAAGTGACTCGATAGGAGTGTGTTCCTGAACAGCTTCAAGGATTGTGTTTGTTGGTGTTCTGGGAGGGCGCTTGAGGGTTGCTGGTCCATTTCTTTCCTTTGTGCCGGGGGGGGTGGGTGGGTGAGGTGCTTGTTCTAAGCCATGGACCTTGTACCAAACCCGAAACCCTGAACCCGAATACCAAATGCCTTGTACAAGTCTTTTTCTTTCGTCAAGACCCCCCTCAAGCCACTCAGGGGGTAAGGACTCAGGGCCCCTTAACCCATACATCCTAAACCCACAACCCCCTTAACCCTGAAACCCTACTCCCTACATCCTAAACCCTAAATACTGCACCCTGCTCATTTCGCACCGGTCCACTAAATAGGCGGTTGTCAAAATTATGGTCCCCTTTTGGGATCCCTATTGTCATACGGCACCTAAACTTAGGGTATCCCAAAACTCGATCAGTGTTAGGGATCCTTTTTACTTTTTGGGTTATGGGCTTTCTTATATATGAACAAAAAGGATCCCTTTTTCTTCCTAGGGGAACAGGGATTAAGAAAAGGGATCATGATTTTGACAACCGCCCAAATCTTAAGGAACGGCAAGGTCCTGACAGATCTCGGAGCGCCGCTCCTGGACGTCGTCCTGGAGCCCGGCGACGTGTTTTATGCTCCGCGGACTGGTACCAGTATGAGGGTCGAGGGTTTAGGGTTTAGGGTTTAGGGTTTAGGGTCTAGGGTTTAGGGCTAGGGGGGCTGGTATAGATGTCCTGGCAGTTGGTTTTCAGACTGCGGCTTCAGGTTAGGTTCAAGTTTTGGGGTTTGGGGTTGTTTACGGTGCGGGAACCCTACACCCAAGCCCCTAACCCCAACCTCGCGCGCTGTCTCATGAGGTTCCTTTGGGCTTCCCTCACGCCACATCGACCGCCGATTTGGAGTGTGATGAGCAGCGGCCCCGGGATTCGTGTCCTACTTGGAGATTCATGGGTACCTTAAAAGTGGGGTGACTATATGTCTATGGCCTTATTTCCTAAAATTGGGGTAACTTTATGTCTATGGCCTCATTTCCTAAACCATGCTTATATGTAGCCTTGAATCTTCAGGTGTGACCGCATCACCTCGACACTGTAGGCTGCGAGTGGGATGTGGTTCTGAGCTGGGATGGGTCTCACCTTCTCGATGACACGTGCACGGCTCAAGCAGAGGTGTTGGGTCAAATTTGCCAGTGGCAAAGCCATTTGCAAGTGTTGTGTAAGGCACAACGCCTTGCGATTCTCCAGTCTTACAAGCGTTTCACTGCCTCTCGCCTGAAGAGCATGGCCCCACATCCGCCCGAACATCAGCCTTTGCCCGACATGGATGAGCGCTTTGAGCAGGCCCGGAGGTCTGTATCGGGCAGGAAGTCAGTATCATCTCTGGCATCTGACATTGATTCAGAGCTGCTCAGAGCGGTTCCCATGGCCTTGTGTTTGAAGGGTTTTGGCAAGCATTTCAGTGCAGATCGCAAGTCCAACGATTACCACCTCAGTCAGCGTGTTGATGAGATTGACTCATTCATCAGCCACTAGGTAGGCCCTTGGGATATTTTTATGTTTTCCCTTATTGGGTTTGAGAGGGTCGTATTCAGGATGATATTTTTCAGATGGTTTTAAGGGCCATCCTAGGCCATGACTGGAAGACGAGACGCTGGCTTAAAACTTTGACATTGCTGGTTTACTTGAACAGTGTGCCTGCAGCTCTGGCGAGTTTGCTGATGCTGGGTAGCCCATTGGTAACCCTTGATCCTTGTTGCCCTTTGTGAGGCTCTACCCTAAACCCTAAACCCTAAACCCTAAACCCTAAACCCTAAACCCTAAACCCTAAACCCTAAACCCTAAACCCTAAACCCCAGGTTCCCTTGTAAATGTAGCCAACCCCCCAAAAACGGGTGGGGGGCCACCGAGGATGTGCATGTTAAACTGCTTTCTCATCATTTTGAAGATCCTACCAGGCGGAACAGGGTTTAGGGTTTAGGGTTTAGGGTTTAGGGGAGTCTACTTCGGGTCCATTTCAAGGTGAGTGTATATGTTGGGGTTACAAGGCATATAGGCCCTGCTTCAGGTGGATGGCTCATGGGCACCTTTTGCACCCACGGTGCTTTTTGGCTCGTGTTTGTCTTTTGGCAACGCATTCGTGGTCTCTACGGGAAGAACATGGCTTTCCTGGACCGGCTATGCATCTCCCAACACGACGAACACCTCAAGAAGGAGGGGATTTTGGCCTTGGGAGGCTTTCTGTCCAAGTCCAAGAGGCTTCTGGTTCTTTGGAGCCCTCGATATTTCACACGATTGTGGACCGCCTTCGAGCTGGCCTCCTTTTTGAAACATGACCAAGCCAAAGCTAAAGATATCGAGTTCGCTCCGGCCAGCATGGGGCCGTTGATTCTCTGCTTCAGTTTGTTTGAAACCTTGCTGGTCGCCTGCTTTCACCTGCTCATCGTGCAGGATGTGCAGGTGAGGCTGGGGAACATGGATTCCTTGCTTGGCGAGGAAGGGGACCGGTATTGGGACTTCTTGGTGGCTGTCTATGTGATCGCTGCCCCGGCGTTGCTGCTGATCCTCCCCGTTAGCCTGTACTTTGGCACCCAGCAAATGTTGGCCTTGCTGCAGCTCAAGAAGCAGCTGAGCGAGTTCAGCATTCGGGCCTCTCAGTGTAGCTGTTGCGAAATGGATCACAGCCATCCCGACACTGGTGAGGAGATGCTGTGTGACCGAAGCCTCGTCTATGAAACCTTGAAGAGGTGGTTTCCAGATGAAGACTCTTCACAGGGTCACTTGGACAAGTTCGATGAGCTGGTGCGGAAAGAGCTGAGCGGCTTCGTGCAAGAGATCTTGGGATCAGGTGCTCCACATTTTCGCTACGTCGTGGCCAACACGGCGCCCCCTTTGCTTGGAATCTTCTGCCACTACGTCTACATGGCTGTGAATGACCCTTTTGACTGGACAGCTCTCGGTTGGATGATTGGCTGGTTCCAGATACCGCCGCTGGTGCTTCTGTCTTTCTGGGAGACTTGGTACCCCCATGATACTCTTTCCTTTTTTTTGGTTCAAGGTCCCCTTATAACGTAACCAACCCCAAAAACGGGTGCCCTGATTAAAACTATGGTTTCTGGGCTACCCTAAACCCTAAATCCTAAACCCTAAACCCTAAACCCTAAACTTAAACCCTAAACCCTAAACCCTAAACCCTAAACCCTAAACCCTAAACCCTAAACCCTAAACCCTAAACCCTACCAAGGAAATGCTTCTCTGTTGGAGGATCGGGGCGCGATGCCATGGTCGGGTGTCCTTGTGGGTCGTCTTTCCACTTTGCATGTGTGTTGGCATCCCTTTCAACAACCTGATTTGGTATCAATACACGCTGGTGAAGTACACATTTGGGATGAGGTTCAACTGGCCTGTTGCTGGCTCACTAGCTCTAATGTGGCTAGTGGTTGCGATTCCTTATGTTCGAGAATATGGCATGTGCGGAATTTGCCACACATGGCCCAAGAAGACAACGCAGCTTCAGCGCCAGTAGGCGGCATGACTTTTCAACAGCTTCGCTGAACTCCTTGCATAAGTGTTCTTCAAAGAAGTTCCAAATTCATGGGCAAGAGATAAACGAAGTATTCTCCTTAGTGGCGGATGTTCGTGCCGCCCGGTCTCACGACATTTTGATTTTTCAAAGAAGTGGCTCCCTGCTTGGTTGCCTGTATGTAAGGAATCCGGGTTTAGGGTTGTAAGGTTTAGGGTTTAAGGTTTTAGAGTTGAGGGTATTTAGATGATATACATGGGGACCCCAAATGTGAGAAACTACCTCACAGCAAAGTTGAAAGAGCTCACGGCGCGGTTAGCGGCCGTGGGCGAAACGCTAATTTTACAACTTTTTCGGGGGGGAGGGGGGGGGGGAGGGGGGGGGTTGGTTGCGGGCATGTCTTCACGCTTCTTCTTCCTTGCTTCTGGTTCAGATAGCCTCTGTTTCCTTGCCGTGTTTTATGTACACTCTTCTAGTCTACAGTTCCAGCCTTTTACATGCACTCGTCTGGTCCAGCATTGACAGTTCCAGCCTTTTACATGCACTCTTCTAGTCCACACTTCCAGCATTGACAGTTCCAGCCTTTTACACGCACTCTTCTAGTCCACACTTCCAGCATTGACACAGAGAAACGTACTTGCAGAGCTTGTGTTCGACGGTTGCGTGAATTTCTATTTTGTACACCCTTTGCATCAGTGCCGCCTCGAATGGGGCCCATCTGGTGCGGACCTTGAGATGCGCCGTGCCTTTGTCTTCGACCCTGAGCCTCAAACCGCCGAGGAAAAGAAAGAGGGAACGACCGGAAAACCACAGCACCCTAGGCTATACCACAAACCCTTAACCCTATACCCTGACAATCCAAAACCTTATATGCTAAGCCTGGGGAAGCGGTTAGGAGAGCGAGTGCGAAGACCCAAGGACCCAAACAACCACAAAACACAGAACCGCAAAAACACAGCAAACGCGCAAAAACCTACTCATAATACGATGATGAGAGCATACTCAAAACACTGGCAGGCGTGGTACTTTTGACTACAACAATGCCTAAGATTCACTGCAAGTTAACAAAAAAAGACGTCTCCGAAAAACACGTTTCAACAGCGAAACACTGTCCTGCGTGGGTTAAAACCACAGTTTGGTGTGCTTTTGGCCCACGGCCGCTAACCGCGCCGTGACCTTGAAAGAGGGTGGGCAGGGCCGCCGTCAGGTCAATGGCAGCAATAGCAACTGGGAGTAGAGTTTAGGGTTTCGGGTTTCGGGTTTAGGCCTTTTTCCTTTGGGAGTCCTTGGGGCAGCCTGAAGTGGCTGTGGGCTGGTCAAAAGCCCATAGTTGATTGTTATTTCCCACGGACTACTCTGTTTCATCTTCCGACGCCCTTATCCATGCTCAGATTCATGCCGCTGGCGCCTTTTTTTTGACCGTAAACCCTGCGCTCTACACTGACCTAGCTGTTGTGTCCTGAAGGCTTCTGGCAACCTATTTTTGAGGTCGCCAGGGGGTCTGGTTTAGGGTTTTGGGTTTAGGGTGTAGGGTTTAGGGTTGCAGCTCTGATCTTCGGAACCTCTGAAACCCTAAGCTGTCAGAGTGTGGGCTCAGGGTTTCGGGGTTTAGGGTTTAGGGTTAGGGTTTAGGTTAACCGGGTTAACCCTACGTGTACACTTCGGAAATCTTAGACGGCCCTGGGAGCTCAATAGCCAGTCGCGGCTGGTTAGATGCTTTTGGGCACCCTGAACCCGACACCCCAAACCCTAAACCCGAAACCCCAAACCCTAAACCCTAAACCCTAAACCCCAAACCCTAAACCCTAAACCCCATACCTTGCTTGCATTGCTTGGTGGTCTCTTTAAGTAGGGTTTCTGTAAGGGGGGGTTCTTGTTAGGTATCTAGGGGCTATATGAAGGCATAAGGGCAACAGATAAACCCCTCAAATCCTTAAACCCTTATAGGAACCTTTACTTAAACCCTCAAACCCTTAAACCCTAAAACCTTACATTCCTTGGTGGTCTCTTTAAGTATGGTTTCTGTTTTGTCGGGTGGGGGGGGTCTTATTCGGGTAGCTAGGGGCTACATGGAGGTATAAGGGTAACAGATAGACCCCTCAAATCCTTAAACCCTTATAGAAACCCTTACTTAAACCTTCAAACCCTTACTTAAACCCTTACTGAAACCCTTACACCCATAAATTTCCTAAAACCTTACATTGCTTGGTGGAGGGTAACAGATAAAGAGGCCACCGGCATTATAACCCATAGCCAAAACCCTCCACTCCAAAATTCGAAGATCCCCAAAACCCTGCAGAACCCTGCAGAACCCGCAATAGCCCACAACTTCCTTTAATGACCCTGAGTAGTCCTTGTCATCAATCACTGGCCAAGAATATCCTTGAATAACCCTCAACACCCCCCAAAATAGCCTGTTTAGGGTTTGGGGTTTAGGGTGCCCTGAAGCACCTAACAAGCACCCTTGAAACCCTTAAGCCGCCAAAACCTTTACTTACCCCTCCAAACCCTAAACCCGAAACCCGAAACCCGAAACCCGAACCAAAGACCCAAAGACCCAAAACCTTTCACCCTCCGAGCCACGAGGCCCTCCTCGCACCTCACTCTGAACCTGGACTCCGTGATCTGGGGATTGTCTTGGAGGCTTGGTGTTAAGGGTTTAGGGTTTAGTTTTTTGGGTTTAAAGTGTAAGATGTAGGGTTGGGGATTGTCTTGGAGGCTTGGTGGTGGTTCAGGGGGTTAGGGGATTGGGGGTTTGGTGTTTCGGGTTTAGGGGTTGAGTGTGTTTAGGGGTTGTGTTTTGGGGTTTCGTGCTGAGGGGTTTAGGGGTTAGGGTGTAGGATTTATAGGGTTTACGATTTAGGGGTTTTAGGGGTTTAGGGGCTTAGGGGCTTAGGGCGTGGGGTTTGGGGGGTTTAGGGGGTTTATGGGGTTTATGGGGTTTATGGGGTTCAGGGGTTCAGGGCTTTGGAGGGGTTTTGGGGTTTAGGGGCATAGGTGCTTAGGGGGTTCAGGGGTTTGGGGCTTAGGGGTTTAAGGGGTTTAGGAGGTTTAGGCGGTTTAGGCGGTTTAGGCGGTTTAGGCGGTTTAGGGCTTAGGGGGCCTTAGGGTTTAGGGTTTTGGGCTTGGGGCTTTTCGGGGTTTAGGGGGTTTAGGAGGTTTAGGGAGGGGTTTAGGGTTTAGGGGGTTTAGGGGGTTTAGGGTTTAGGGGGCTTCGGGTTTAGCGTTGAGGGGGTTCAGGGGTTTCGGGGATCTAGAACCGCGGGCGTTTCAGGGTTTAGGATTTAGGGGCTTAGGGTTTAGGGTTCGGGGTTTAGGGTTTAAGACCGTTTAAGAGTTTGCGTTCAGAGGCATGAACCATCGGAAACCTCTCACCCTCCGAACGCAACCGAACAGATGTGTGCAGACATCTCAGAAGAGCTGGGCTTCGCAGGTGTACGGGCTCAGATTGTGCCGCAAAGGTAGGGAAGGTCCGTCTCGAAGCGCCAGGAAGCCATGGGAAACCTGTGTGCGGCCGTGCCGACTGTCACGAAGGTAGCGGTGCTAGGGGCCACAGGCCAGCAAGGGGGTGCCGTCGCCGCAGCTTTGGCGCAGAAGGGCATCGCAGTGGTTGCCATCACTCGTAACCAGTTTGGCTTTTGGGACATTTGATCTTGTCCTCATTTGGGGTTTATAAGGGACCCTATTTGTATATATATATATATACATATAATATAGAGATATTTTCCCAAGGCTTTAAAAAACCCAACCCAGGTAACCCCGAGTCTGAGAAGGCGAAGGCCCTGGCGGAGAAGCCGCAAATTGTCGTGCGGAAGGCCGACTTGAATGACGTGGCGAGCCTTGTGACAGCTTTCGAAGGTTGTGACGGAGCCTTTGTGATTGCAAACTTCTGGGAAGGCATGGATGCGGGGAAAGAGATGGAGCAGTACAAGAACGCGGCAGAGGCCCTCAAGAAGGTAGGCACTATGAAGCACGTCATCTTCACTACCCTGGAGGAGTCAAACATCCCTGTCAACAAGGACTTCAAGACCATCGCGCAGCACGCCACCGGCGACATGAAAGTCCCACATTTCGATGGCAAGGCACGCTCCGAGAAGTTTTTCGAAGGCTTGCCGACCACCTTTATGGTGACTTAGGTGCTGGGTGGGCAACCTTTAACCCTTTTGGGTACGAAAAGTCCCCTGAAATAAACCCAAAGGTTAACCTTGTTTTCCCCTGGGATTCACCCTAAACCCTGAACCCTAAACCCAAAACCCTAAACCCTAAACCCTAAACCCTAAACCCTAAACCCTAAACCCTAAACCCTAAGCCCAGCACCTATAAGGTGACGAGCTGCTACTTTGAGAACTTCACGAGCTTCTTCAGCTTGGCGAAGCAGGCAGATGGAAGCTATACCTTCACGCTGCCCATCGGAGACGCTTTCTGCTGTATCCCCCCTTGGGAATTATTCTTTTTAAAGTATTGTTTCTAGAAAAACCCAAGAGGATATTTAAAAAAAACAAAAAACAACTATTATTTTTGTATAAAACCCTAGAGGATGTTAAACATAATATTTTTCAGGCTCTAAGGGGAGTACAGACTGGTGGTTGCAGGGAATGAGGGAATGAGGGAATGAGGGCATGAGGGAATGAGGGAATGAGGGAATGAGGGAATGAGGGAATGAGGGAATGAGGGAATGAGGGAATGAGTTACTTATATATATATATATGCACCTATCATTTAAGTGATTATGTAGGGTACCTCATTCCCCCATTCCCTGCTAACCAACAGTCAGGACAAGAAGATTCCATGGACCATCCTCAATGACCTTGGCGTCCTGGTGGCATCGACGTTTCAGAAGCCGGAGCTTGTCGGAGAGCGGATCGGACAAGCCTCCTTCTATGCGTCCGGCAACGACCTTGCGGAGATGCTCACGAAGGCGACTGGCAAGAGCGTCAAGTACAACAAGGTTCACGGGTTCCCCTACTACCCCCCTCAAACTGCCCCCCCCCCCCTAGGTTCCCCCCCATAATTACAGTAAGGTTTTAGGGATAATTAAGCCGAATTAAGGTTACTTAAGGGGGGAACCTAGGGGGTTAGTGTTGAGGGGGGTAGTAGGGTACCTCATGGAAGGTCGACTGGAAGACTTTCGCCTCCTTCGGCTTCCCGGGTGCAGACGAGCTCGCGCAGATGTTCGAGTTCTGGAACCGCACCTACGACGCTTTCTGTGGCGCGCGCACCCTCGATGCACAGAAGGCCATCATCGGAGGTGCTTCCTTCACCGATCCGGTGGAGTACGCCAAGACGCTGCCGCTCAAGTTCGAAGGATGAGAGTCGGCGCGAGAATCTCCCAAAGGATCCATGTACCTATATAGTATATTCTTGGGTCCTAAAGCTACTATATAGGAACCCCTTTAAGGCCCAAGTATATACTATAAAGGTACATGGATCCTTTGGGTCTGCGAGAAGGCTTGAGAGAACGCCCTCTGTGACTCAGAGCGCAGAAATTCTCTGCACTGCAATCACACCTCGTGCTTTCTGAAGATTTTGACATTCTTTTGCGAGTTTTCCAATGCCCCGAAGGCCCGAAGTTGGCCCTCGGCGCACAATGCCCACGATGGCATGCACAGACTCCTGAAGGCAAGGCACAATACAAACAAGCGCGAAGTGGCAACTTTGAGGTCTTGTGGAGCGCAGCCCCAGAATCCTCCACTACGAACTCCCAAGCGTCAACCCCCCCCTATTTTTAAGCCTCAATCAGCCTCTTTCAATCATCAGTTCTCAAAGCGGATCATGAGGTTTCTAGGGTTTATACAGTGCATATATGAACTCGTCGCCACAAAAACCCTAAGCCCTAAACCCTAAACCTCTTAAACCCTAAGACGCCTAAGACCCAAGCCTTGATTCCTGAACCCCAAGCCCGCTGAGACGCCCCTGCGACATGTGACTTGGGGGCTGAGGTTTGCAGAGGGTTTAGGGTTTAGGGTTTGGGGTTTGGGGTTTAGGGTTTAGGGTTTAGAGGATCATGGGTAGTTAAGATTAAGGTTCTTCTAGGGTTGGAGGGTTGAGTGTTCCGGGTTCGCCGTTCAGTAGGGTTTGGGGAGGGAGGGGCTCCTTAGTAGTGATGGCTGGTGCTAGAGTTTAGGGTTTTAGGGTTTTAGGTTTATGGTTTTATGGTTTAGGGTGTTGGGCAGGGGCAACTAGGCTTGGATAAGCCTCTTCACTTTGTATGGGGTTTCATCCTACCCTGCTTCCAACTTCAAGTGAGGCCCTATAGGGCATAAAGATTAAGCCCCCCAAGCCCTAGGCCCTAACCCTAAACCCCACAAATCCCTAAACCCCTAAACCCTAAACCCCAAACCCCAAACCCTAAACCATAAACCCTATAAACCCTAAACCCTAACCCTAAACCCATAAACCCTATAAATCCTAAGCCCTTAAGGCACTAAGACCCGAAGCTCAAACGGAGGCAGTCCCAACACCATCAAGTGTTAGGCAGACATCGAAGCCCCTTCCCAAGGCAGTGCTCATTACCAAAATGAGGGTTTAGGGTTTCGGGTTTAGGGTTTAGGGTTTAGGGTGTAGGGTTTAGGGTTGCAATGCAAGGTCGGATGTACATTCGGAATTTTGCAGCATCCACCGCATCATGCTCTCACCGGGGTCAAGGATCTGTTGGCTTTTGCCCTTGGGCTTCTTCGACATGCTGTGGGAGCCCCTGTGTTAGAAACCTCCGCTTCGAAACACCACGTCGAAGCCCTGGAGGAGCCTAACAGCCAGGGTTTAGGGTTTAGGGTTGAGGGTTTAGGGTTTCGGGTATTGTAAGCTTGCAAAAAATTAGGAGACCTAAACGCCCCCCCGGCCATGTTGGTGAGGCTGCTGTGGGTGACGGCGCTACGCCAGTCTCGCCTCTCACGCGGCGCGGTGGACGAGGCCGCCGCCCATGGGTTTAGGGTTTAGGGTTTCGGGTTTAGGGTTTAGGGTTTAGGGTTTAGGGTTTAGGGTTTAGGGTTTAGGGTTTAGGGGCTAGCCCTAAACCCAAACATCAAGCCCTGAGCCCCTACAACCCTAAGCCCTGAACCTGTAAATCTTATAGACCTTGTAAAATCTATAACCCTGAACCCTATAAACCTTAAACCCTATAAGCCCGAGAACACCCAGGCTCTAGACCTCTAATCCCAAACCCAGGGTTTAGGGTTTAGGCTTTGTAGGGTGTAGGATTTAGGGTGTAGGATTCAGGGTGTAGGGTTTAGGGTATAGGGTACCCCAGGAGCTCTATCGACCGTGTTTTTTTAGGTATTGCAGCAATAAGACTCGGACCATGTTAACTCGTTCTTTCTTAAAGAACCCGGTAAGCCCGAAACTTACCCTATGAATCCGCCAGACCCTATACAACCTCCAACAACCCCTGTAAAGCAATAAGCCCTCTAAACCCTATAGACCCCTACGCTTCTATTTCGCAAAGGGTGTGCAGGGTTTGGTGTTTGCGGCTTAGCGTCCTGAAGCACTGCATCATCAAACAGGAACCAAACTAACAGAGACTTCAGAATGTGAGCTGGAACTTCCCTCAACAAAAGGTCACGAGTGTGTGGGCCGAGCGGACATTGAGTATATAGCAGGTTTGCAACAGAACCAAAATTAAATCGAAGCCCTGAAGCCCCAAGCCCTAAACCACACAAGCCAAGCCCCCGAGCCTTAGCCCTAAACCCTACACCCTAAACTCTAAAAGTCCCTCAACCTTGAACCCAAGAGCCCAAACCCTAGGTCCTATGAGCTGGGTTGCCTCAACCCCCATGAGACTTAAGAGATCCGCTTCTCCCTTAGCCCTAAACCCCTAAGCCTTTTCTGAGGCCCTATTCGCCGCCCTAAAGCCTAAACCCCAAGCCCCATATGAGACCCAATAAAAGCCCTAAACTCTAAACTCCATGCACCCTGTATAGGCCCTAAACCCTAAGCCCTCTACATTCCCAAACCTTAGCGGAAACCCTAATTCCCTACATTTTTAAGCCCCACATTAGACGCTAAACCCTAACCCCTAAACGCTAAGCTTGTAAACCCTGAACCCCAACACCCTAAACCCGAAAACCCAAACCCCTCTTGGTTTCCAAGCCTTTACCCTTTTTTGTTTTTGGTTCTGGGTTCCTTTGCAAAAAGAGGGTACCCTGAAGATGGTTACTGGGCTACTTGGAGGTCCATGCTTCTTGGGAACCCAGTTCTATCTGTACTGATAACCCAATTAACACCCCATTTGGGCACCTTGAGGGGCTTCCAAGTGGGTCAGCACTGCACGTATCATTGGGTGATAAGTACCCTGCACCTCCAAGTACCCAGGAAGCTGCCCCTAAGTCCTACATTCTGAACCTTTCAGTCGAGTCCCCATTAAGGAACTGTGAGTACAAGGCCGGAAGATGGCCCTAAACCCTAAACCCTAAACCGTAAACCCTGGGTTATAAGTACCCTGAACGTCCAAGCACCCTTGTGAGAAGACGGCTTGCTGGGCGTCCAAGCCTACGTGAGACTCTAAACCCCAAACCCCAAACCCCAAACCCCAAACCCTAAACCCTAAACCCCAAACCCCAAACCCTAAACCCTAAACCCTAAACCGGCAGGAGCAAGAGGCACCCTGCACCGATGGCTCCTCGACTGCCCTTGCGCGCGCTTTGCTTTTTTTTGTTTGGGAACTCTCTGTGGGGTGTTCCCTAAACCCTAAACCCTAAACCCAGAAACCTCTAAACCCTAAACCCTAGCTGCAATACCGAGCCTTTTCGATGGGTTTCAAGGTTAAGGGTCCCTTCGTGGGGGGTGTCTACAAAAGAATGCGTGGCCTTGTTTTTTTTTAGGCTATATAGGGTCGAAGGTGCAACAACCCTAAACCCTAAACCCTATTCCTTGTCAGGGGGTTCTTTCGGTGGGTGTTAGGGTTGAGGCTGTACCGGGAAGCACCCCCTACATAGCCGATGTTGCCCGTAGTCTTACAAGTGCCCCAAGCTGGGTTGCAAGAAAGCTGCCTCAGCCTTCTTGCGGCGGTGCAGACCTACTTGAGCCGCTTGCAGTTTAAATTCCGCAGCTTTCGACCTCTTCGCCATGCAAGAGGCTGTCCTCAAGTGGGAAATGTGGACTGGTGAGATCCTGACAGATGACCGCCTTTGACGTCAGCTAACGCAGTGCGCGGTGCAGCGAGCTTGAGGCACCACTGGGCATCCTAGTGGAGCCTACAAAACCCCTCGGCCCCCCTCCCCCCCCCTCTGTGCTATAGCTTAGCGTTCAATCTATTAGATTGAACGCCGTGGAATGTGTCTCTCTATTGTCTCCTTGTGCAGTACCCACAGGGAGTCGTGGACCTTAATCACGGACAGTCCTCCAAAGTGGACCGAGCCACGAGGGCGGACGTAAGATCAAGGAAGCGTTCTATGATACCCCGAAAAAGCCTAAACCCTACACCCCCAACCCGTCTTAAGCACAGTTGAGGAAGCAGAAAAGGGGGCAACCTCCAACAGAACGCGGCCCCGGAAACCCTAAGCCCTCCCTACATGAGGCAAGAAGTCACTAAACAGGGTTTGTGATGTACGGTATTAAATACCCTATAACCTATCAGCCGCTTTCGCTTGGGACGAAGCGCCCTAAAACGCAAGCCCTTAACGCCTCAACCCCAAACCGCTAACTCCCAAACCCTAAACCCCTAACGCCTCATTCCCGAAACCTTCCGCCCCCTAAACACCTCAAACCGCCAAACAAAAGCCCTAAACCCCAGGTTTGGACATCACCGCGAACCCTCAACCCTCAACCCTATAAACTCCGCAAAATATTCAACATGCCCCCAAGAAAGGGTACTGTACAATCCTTCCTTACCTTCCATTTTGTACGGGCTAAGGTTAATTTGTGTTTAAAGCTGGCGGCCTTTCAACTCCTGGATGGAGGAAGTATGAAACAATTGAGATGAGGCCTAAACTCTAAAAGGAGTAATGTGTTCGGGTGGTTTTGCCTCTTGAGACGGCGTGGGGCTTTCGAAGCCAGTCTGCATAGCTTCTGCGCCATCTCATGGCAACCCTAGAGCCTAGACCCTAGCTTCCCTAAACTCCCTAAACTCCCTAAACTCCCTAAACCCCCTAAACTCCCTAAAGTCCCTAAACTCCCTAAATTCCCTAAACTCCCTAAACTCCCTAAGCTCCCTAAACCCTAAACCCTAAACCCTAAACCCTAGCCCTAAACCCTAAACCCTAAACCCTAAACCCTAAACCCTAAACCCTAAACCCTAGCCCTAAGCCCTAATCCCCAGGTTGGCCATGGCAGCGCTACGCCTCGCTCCAGTCTCCGCTTCCTCTCGGATTCGCCAG